AAGTTGGCAAGTTATATGTCCTTCCATCTTGTTCTCTTTTTCCTATTAATCTTCACTTCAAATTAGCACCAGGGTTTTCGTGAAGACTGTCTCTTACCATCTTATAAGACTTGACTAACGCATTGTTTGAATCTAACATAGCCTTCAAAAACTTGATAATCTGGAGATCATATGATATTGAAGTTGATGTAGAAGCGCTTGTCGGTCCACTAAAAATATTATTAAACATATTTAATGCTATTAAAAGAATTAAAAGAAATAAATTGATTTATTAAAGAATAGGAAATTGTAAAAATATACCCAATAGTTGTCGATCTATTTGAAATTTCATTTTCGGTATCATATATGTATAACTGACAAAATTTTGGTCTTGATCCAGGTGTAGGTAAAAGACTTCCCATACTATGATAGTTTTGACCGCTAAGTTTGAATATGTATGGTGCGTTGCCTTTGTTGATGGATGAATCAACTTTTCCTCCCATCGATGTAAATGAAAACATTGAATTGTAACGTCGAATGTTCTTCATAAAGTGCTTGCTTTTTGAATCTACCGATTTGTAAAGATTTTGGTAAGATGACGGTGCTTCTTTTAAGGGTGGTAGCTCAACTTTGCCGTAACCACAACATAGTGAATAAGATGTATTGCCTTTTTTTTGCCCTCTAAGCGATTCATCTATCCATAATTTTGCATGACAAAGGTGACATGTAACAGTTTTGTCTCCATGATCCAAGTAATCTATTAAATGCAAAAAAAAATTATATAATTAAAAAAATTAAAAAAAAATAGAATATTAAAAAATATAGAATTATGATCACCTTTTGATATACCATGGAAAATATCGTGAACGATATGAGCATCATGAATTTCTTCATCTAATGTCAAGTCAAAAACAGGTATAGAGGATATATCTGGAGTCTTCCTTTTTAGATGATGTTTTCCTCTTGGTAACTTGATTGATGAAGAATTTTGGATTATTGTCGAACGATTGTTGGATGCCGTGACATTACGAAACACCAAATTATCTTTGTTAATAGATAGTGGTGTTTGAAAGTTATTATTGAAAATATAATTTCCTGTAAAAAAAAATAGAAATAAAAAGTCAATAGTTGTTATGATTAATATAAATTTGAATCATATATTTATAAATTTGCGTATTTAGAAATGCTTACCATTTGAAATGTTAGAAAATGGAGTTCTAACATTTATATTTGTTGAAGAAGAATTATGAATTATTGTCGAGGGATTGGTAGATGTCTTTCCAATGCGAAACACTGAATTATCTTTGTAAATAGATAATGGTGTTTGAACGTTATTGTTGAGAATATAATTGTTTGATAAAATGAAAATACAGATTAGAACATTAGGAATTGTTATGTTTTATATAATTTTGAAGCATATATTTTTTAATTTTTGAATAAAGAAATGCATACCATTTGAAACTGTTGATAAGTGTGTTGTAACATATTTATTTGTTGAAGGAGATTGAGTACGTATATGTTGATATACACATGAGTTGGTTGAGTTTATATTTTCCTTGTTTGATGTAACTTTTGCATGGTTATCTGTAGATTGTAATATACGATGACAATTGTAGACATATGTTATATAACAAAGAAATTGTTAGTAAGAAAAAAAATATATTAATTAATAAAAATAAATTAAATTAAAGAGTATGCAAAGTTTCTATTTATATTATATTTGCAAATGAATTGTAAAATAAAGAAATATATATACCTTTATTCGATTTGCTGGAAACATGTGGAATAGATGAATTTTGATGGGGTGATGTGTTATGTAATATTTTGGATTTTTTATTATCCAAATATAACTTTCTAATTTTTCTCCTCTCTTTAGCGGTTGTAGATTCGATATTGTTATTTGAACCTGTAAAATAGCATAAAATAACTTAAAGATATTTTTATTTGATATAAATTTAAATATAACGTATTGTATTTATTTCACTTATATAAAATTATTAATCTTATATTTAAAATAAATAAGAAACTAACATATTATCAATGCAAAATAAAGTAAGAAAAGTACCGTATTGGCTAAAATGAAAAGGATGTGTTGCTGATGTATAATGAGATGATGATGTAGTATTGGGTTTTTAAAATTTTCTGTTATCCAAATATAACTTTCTCTTTTTTCTTCTCCCTCTAGCGTCATTTTCATCCATGTTCCTGTTTGATAAATAAAAAAATTTTAAAAAAACTGTTAAAAATAAAATTAAGGATCTGAAAGTAATTGTTACATAGGATTTATAGGTAAATTAATTTGTATTTAATTGAATTTGAAAATTGAATACTAATTAAATTTTTTTTGATAATGAAATATGTAAATAATAATATTGTATAATGATATATAAATAATCTTTACTTATTAAATTGTTTTAACATATTATATAAAATGGCAATTTAAAAAGTTTATGTTTATTTAAATTACAATTTAATAAATATAAAATGTTATGTTTTTTTAAAACACACTTTAATAAGAATCGACATTATAATATAAAGATTTAGGTTATTATTTAATGTATATTTAACCTAAGATTGAGTTGTGATACATACGATTAAAAGATAAAATTAGAAAAAAAAAAAAAAGTATTTGATGTCTTCGTATAAGTGTTCATATATGTATATATATTGTTTTTATTTAAAAAAAATAAGAAATATATATTTATGTTTTATATTATTGAATATACTAAAGGAAGAGTTATGAGTGTTGAGTAACCCCATTTTCCCCCTTTTCTTGTAATAGAAAGGAATACCATTCCCTTTTCCAGTCTAACCAAATCTCTATTTTCGACTCATCTAAAACGATCGATTTCAGAAATGGTATGGAAAGCTGTCAATTGCTAAGGATGAAGGCATATACGATAATACAGGTATAGTAGAATTTAAAAGTGAAATGAAAGTTATAGTGCAATTTAGAAGTCGGCGAATTAAGGTAGGAAAAAATTCGGGTTGAAGAGGGTAAAATCGAAGGAAAGAAGTTATCTACATCGTTGTTAATTGTTAGATTCTTTCAGAGAAAACACATTACTTGAAAGATAATATTACCTGTGATTTTTCTGCAGCAAAGACGTGTTTGAAGTTCCGAGCGAAAAATGAAGTGCTAGTGACGAATAGGTTAACACTCAACACTGGAGACACAATCAGGTAAGTTCCAATCTGATTTAAATTCTGAAATTCATTGTGAGTGTGTATTAATTTGAAATTTAAAATTCAAATTTGCTATAAATTAGGGTTCAATTTGTGCAGATTATTACTGTTATTAGTATAAGTAAGTAAGTTAATTTTTTTATGTTATACACCTTCCAAATACGAATGGTCAAAGTTTATAATATTTTAAAATAAATGTTTAGATGTTTTTACCCTTACTTGTATCCAGTTCATGAGTTTTTTCCCTGGTTTAGTTGAGCTGATGATGTTTATTGATCTTTTATGGGTTGGTATTATTGGATTTACTTAAGCTGTTAGTCTCCCTCTTATGCAATATTTGTTATCCTGTCATGCTCTTGTATTTGCCGAACTTCCTAATCAATTTGTTAATTTTTTAGTAATTTCATCCTTTAAAAAAATTGGAAATTATTACTTTTGATAATCATTTAGGGTTTTCTACCTGAGTATACTGGGGTATTTATGTGATTGGTGTTAGGTTAGGCAAGAAAGTTTTGTTTGCAAGATGCTAATCTGGGAAGTAATACATTAGAAATTGCATTTCAAAATAGTTAGTATTGTATTTATCTTGTTCTGATATATTATTATAACAAAAAACAGTTATGTTTTACAAGAAATTATTGTAGTTAATGATGACAAACAGAAACCAAAATACATGACTTTGCTGTAATAAGTTAAGTTATAAGGATAAACCCACCTAAAACTATAGTAAAATAATTTAAAGAAAAAAGGTTTGAATTGTCATTTAGGCATATATTATGTAGTGTACATTTTTTTGGTTGTAATACAAACATGGTAAAGTAGGCTGTCTTTTAATAATAATTGTATCTACAGCAAAGATAATATGCCAAAGAAATAATGTATAAAGCTAATATTATGTAAGAAACCAGACAAAGAAGTCTATAAAATAATATAATCACTGGTAATAGCATTATAAATTTAGAGATATACATAGTAATAGCAATGAAGTCTATAAAATAATATAATCACTGGTATATCGATTTTTTTTAACATTTTAGTTTTCAGATTGTATTCGCTATATTTACGGATTGTAGTTTAAAATAGTAATGAAGTAAAATTCTGTTATGTGAGTCAATTAACAAATATTTATAAGATATTTGTTAATTAGTTTTTATCATTTTTTTTAGTAACAGTTAAAGAGCTTTATGTTTGTCAAGTAATAAGATGGTATAATAATAAAAGAAAGTAAATTTGGTTGTTATTTACCTAAGGTACAACATAAGGATGCAAAATCAAGTAAAATTGTGTTAATTGATTCACGTAAAAAAAATTTATAATTTATAAGATACTGATCAAAATCATATATCGTAAAATCAGTGGTGGTTATTTCTTTTCAGAAACACGTTTATGTTGGTCAAATAATACGATGTTATAATAAAGAATCCCTTCTAATTTTTGGTTGTTATTTGCGTAAGATAGAACATAAGTACGTATTTTATGTAGTATTACACCGTTTATGAATGTAATTAGAAGTCATTGTAGGAATTTAATTAATGTCCTTAAATTGAATTCACAAACATCATTCATGGAGTCGTAGTGTTACCTATTTTATAAGTATTATAAATAATAAGCAAACAAATCATATTGTAATAAAAAACGACTAAAACATGAATCTTGAATGTTTTATGAATGTATAATAAAGAAAAATTAAAAAAAAAAAATACCAGCACCGGAAAACAAAAGTTTTCAAATTGAAAAGTAGGATGTTAAAATACGATAATGAAAAATAAAAAGTAGTCTATGATTATTTAAATCCATTCCAAAGAAGCATTCCAAATTAAGCACGAAACCTTAAGTCAGACATTCTTTTCCACCTTTACTTTCAACAATTCTTTTGTTGGACCATCTGGGGATGTCTTTGGAGTTTTTGACGATGAAAAATTTTCATTAGACTCCAAATCAAAAACTTCTTGCAAATTTCTCTTTAAAACTGGTGTTGTTGAAATCTTCAGTGGACTTGTTACCGAGTTTTTGTCCAAAGTGTTGGGAGTTATGTTATCATCCGTAGCAGAAATTGCATCCTAAAAAACAATTATATATCATTCTTTTATAAAACAAATTAGAATTTTATACTATATTCGATATTTTAAAATGTATAATACCTTTAAAGTCTTGTTGTCAAGAGATTGAAAATCAGATGAATTAACATCTAATGACTGTGAATTATCTGCCTGTATAAGAAAATAGGTAGCAAAATAAATTATTTGTTAAATACTTCATGTTTAGCTAAATAAGATAAAACAAAAAAATAAGTAATGTGTTTACTTTAGAAGAATTAAATTTATCTTCAAGTTGTTCGATTAAACTCTCATCATCAGAAATTCTAACAATACCATATTGGTTGGTTTTTTTGGACACATTGAATCTATTTGAAGAAATCTTAAAGGCAAATTTCAACCCTTTCAATGCATTCATCTCCATTGGGTACAAATCAACATTGTTTCCATTCTGCAGTTATGCAACATTATCAAATATGTATATTAAAGTGAAAATAAATACAAAATTTACAACATTTTATCTAATAAGTTGAAATGACCTTGGCTGCGGTGTTAAAAAACTCTTTGGCTGATTTCTTCAACAAATACCTTCCTTCTCTTTCAAACAGAGTTAAGGTGATAGTGCCGGTGTTATCTTGAACACGGATCGGAATCTTATATCTAAGAAAATAAAAAAATATACTAATATATATTTGGTATTAGATATTATTTAAAGATTTTTATGGACGGTAAGAACCTTGGAACCACAGAAGTTGTAGTTTTTGTGCAATCTACGTTATGACATTCATAAGATTTAGCTGTTCCATCTACTTGATCATTGTTAGGGACTGCTTTGCTACTGCAGTTTGTACACGCTTGATAGAACCATTTTTCATTTTGTAATATTCCTTTTATAGTGCCCACAAGAATGAATGTACATATCTGGATAAAAAAAGTAAGTTTGTCAAAAAATAAATATGCAAAGGAAAAAAAGTATATTAATAAATATACCATCACATATACCTCCACTGGTTCCCAAACTTCAGAAATAGTCTTGAGCTTATTTTTAACCATGAAGTCATCATATTCAAAAACTTGGTTGGCAGGAATAAGTGAAAAAGTATGTGAAGAGGAATCAGGACGATCATCCCTTTGTAACCTTTTTTTTTATACAATTACAAAAAATTTAGATACATAGGATGTAATGATAAAAACCACACCATATGACATAAATTACCTTTTCTTGAAAACAGAAATTTCATCTATGTCGGAGTTAATGAACAATCTTGAGGATGTATAGTAGGTGTTGACACTGGGGCGATCTATAAAAAAAATTATAAATATTATTTACATATAACTGACGGTCTATAAGACAATGTATAACTAATGTAAAAATTATTATAAAATTTTATTTTTTTGAGTAATTGAGTTTACCTCTCCAAACATTAATTTGCGCAAACTGAAGTATAACAATGATTTGAAGATTGTGTGGATTGTCTTGTATATACTCTTGCATTTGGTACGCATAATCACCCCACAAAACCAAGCGTATTTCCAAACCACTGACAATGCAACAACAGTTATTAAGTTAATTATATATAAACATATAATCTTTTAAGTATTACATATAAACATATTGAAAAACATACTTTTCATTCTGGATATAGATGTGAATCTTGTGTTTGGACTTATCAGTGCTTTCTCTTGCCATTTCCCCAACAGCAACAACCAATCCAATAACATCTAAGATATAAGAAAAACATGAATGAAGTGGTGTTGAGAATATGGAAACATCATATCATATCATATATAAACATTAAATATGAAAACTTGAAATTTCATTAAGTAAAAAATATAATAAATAAACATACCGAGTGACAAATTTTGAGGATGAACCATTGACAGCACAGATTGAAAATCAACAAAAGAAAAACCAAATTTAGGCCCGCTAAATTGGGTACATTCTTTAACAACGGTTTCCTGCACAAACGTGAGTTTTTGATCTTGGGGAATTAACCTAAAAGTATTAGGCTTCAGAGATGCAAAGCTTGGAGATGTGATGTAATATGACTTCCCATCTTTTAAAAATTTTTTGAATCGATAGAGGAATTTTTTAGGGACCGATGCTTGTATTTCGCTCCCCTAAAAACACAATATATTATAAGCATTAAACATTAAAATAGATAAATATTTATATTTAACACATACGTAAAGATATATATATATATATATATATATATATATATATATATATATATATATATATATATATATATATATAACATACTTGTTCATCGACCAAGATTAATTCAATGGACCATATTTCATTCTTGTTGTAGAAAGACATTTGCTTCCAATGGTTTATCACACGAACCTTGATACTCAAATCATCCCTTGTTACATCCAAGTCAGCTATGAAAGTAATATTTGTTGTAGACATATCCCTACAAATATCAGAATCCATTCTATAAGTTAGATGCCAAATAATTGGTAACTACAAGAGAGTATTAGTGAAATTATCCGTAATAGTATATATGTACACTTCTTCAAAGACATAAAGATGCATACATAGCAAAGATGAATCAATCAACACCTTATATTCAAAAAATTTCAAAATGGTAAAATTGAAGAAAAATATAAAAATTGTATGGAGACATAAAAGCTTTAGCAAAATATGAGAATTTGAGTAAAACAGAATAAAAAACAGATGAATATTTAAGCATCGTACGTATGAAAAGTTTATTTAAATCAATAAGTTAGTGTACATAATTGTGTTGAAAACATTAAAGTGTGTATATTCTGTCAATATTTAAGCAGTGTACTTATCAAAAGTTGTTTTAAATTAATAAGTTATGAAAAAAGCTGCAAAAGATGAATATTCGTTACATAAACATCAGTTTCTTGAGTATAGATAATTCATAAAGAAAGAAATTGAAAACAATCCGAAACTTTGTAAAACTGTTTTTCCGCAAAATTAAAATGATGAGTCAAAAACATAAAAAATAGATGAATATTTAAGCATTGTACTTATCAAAAGTTGTTTTAAATGAATAAGTTATGAAAAAAGCTGCAAAAGATGAATATTCGTTACATAAACATCAATTTCTTGAGTATAGATAATTCATAAAGATCGAAATTGAAATATAGACAGTGAAATATAGACATCTTAATTAATGATTAAAAGATATAGATGAGTGGCAATAGAAATGAAACACAAACCTTTTATTATTATCATCGATTGTGCTTAGTTTTTCCTGTTCCATGGAAGTCATCAGAGCTCACAGAGAATGCCGTCAAAGAATGTGTGAAATATAATACTAAGTGATAGTAAAACCGATTTATTATTATATAAACTGATATATGCATATGCCTTTATTTTGAACCTGATTTTCAGGGATTTATCTACGGTATATTTGAATCAGAAGATCAGAAGATTGGAGGATAATTGACAGGCATAAATTTCGGTTGCTGAAATTAAGGGATACAGGATCGTGATCTTCAATCTTCAATATCTTCAATATTGAATAAGGAATTTTGAATTTTAAATTTATTTTGGATATGGATTGCTAAATTGACTGATTTACTTTTTCTGAATGTGTACATGGGCAGGAATTTTTTTTGGTTATTGTTTATTGTGATGCCACGTGTCAAATTTGTAGCTTAATAGTTTGACAAGTGTAATTTAGGAGAGGTTTTTATTAGGATTAGAGATCCTATTTTTGTGCACCTCTAAACTAAACATAATTGGTCAATTTAGTTTGACTATGATTTGTTTCTTTAATGTAGACTATTTTAGAAATATATACCGATAAAATGATAAGTACTTTTGACAAAAACTCCTTATATACATAAAATGAACAATCAAAATAGCAAAAACTCGATGAAGCATCATATGGTTATTTTATACCAAATATTAGTTTAGCTTTTAGGAATAAAAAACTAATCCAAACACCCTGTTACAGTGGTACTCTGTTGTTATACCTTTATAATTGGGCCTCTTATATTATCTTATTAGTCCAACATTTTGGGCTTTTAGCCTTTTGGTATTAGCAGTTTCTTTCTCGACGACAGTTTTTGCTTTTGCAGCTGCCTTGTCCCATTTCTCGGATTCTCGCCGGAAGTGGACCACATTGCCGTCTCCGGCTACTCCCTCTTAAAGTCCTTGATCGGCGTCCAATCGGAAAAAGGTATGTCGTTGATCGTGTCTTTCCTAAGGATCTGTATTTAGTAACTATCTTTATACGATCGATTCAGATTTCTGATTGCGATTAGGCTGGTAACAGAAAATTATGGATGGAGAGACGCCTAATTTCAAAAAATGGAATATATTATATCCTGTTTACATAAACTCGAAGAAGACTATAGCTGAAGGTAGACGAATCTGCGCAGCAAAAGCATGCGAAAACCCTACCGCGGTAGAAATCGGTGATTGTTGCAGCCACCTGAAAATTCCTTTCGCTATTGAGGTTTTCTCGACTTCACTCTGAATTTTCTTTTACACGAAGCTATAATTCTACTTCTGATATCGAATAGTTTACATTCAACTTTAAGGTGAACTCGATTTTCACGTTTTAAGAATGATTGATTAGAATGTTGAGGTTTTATTCATGACATCAACAAGTTGATTTGGTATCAATATCCTTACAACTTGATTGAAAGATCCAAACATGGATCGGTTGATTTTCTATCCATATTCATATGAAGAATAGTAATTTGTTAACAGAAACAGCAACATATCAACATTCTGTAGCACTTATCAAGTATAAGGAGCTATTTTATTAAATTAACTGTTGTAATCTAGGGTTCTAATTCACATTCATTTTTATAAAGCTTGATAAGGCATATCCACGGGACTTCATGCAAGTAGGAAGGGTGAGGTTCATTCTGAAAAGGTCAGATGGGAGTTTATACAACCAAGCTATCTCATCTAGTAAGCATTGATTTCTCTTAAATTCTGAGTTTTATTCCATTTTGTTCCTGTTTTTTGCTTCTGTTGTATGATCATTTGACTAATGAATGTAAAGTCTGTGCAACACCCAGTATAAATGTGGAAATAGGAACCCTAATATTTTAACATCATAAGATATGAAGAAAATAGTTGTTTCTTGAGTAAATGGGCTTAATGAGTTAAGCACTTAATCTAGACAACTATAAATAGTTGTTTCTTTTTTACTTCATCTGGACAGAATGAGTTAATAGGTTAAGCCAGAAAACTTGGTTTAATGTATTAAGACATTAACCAAAATCGATGAATATTTTTTGGAGTGTAAGGGTAAAATGGTAATTTAATCTCATACATAAAAAAAACAAACAAACCTTATGTTACAACATTTTATCCATACAAACATGCTAATGTTAATTATGAAATTTTGAATTGCAGAAAAACACCTGATGCTTCATGTTGCTGAATTGGTTCCAAGACACCCTGGCAGGGTAAAGAAACAGGAGCCTGCTGCCACGTCAACCACTGGACCTTCTAAATCTGGAAAGGGTGGCAAAAAGAAGAGATAACTTTATTTTTTCTTTAGTTATATAACATGTTATTGTTTATTTAAAAAAATATTTGGATTTTGGACCCCTTTTCATTGGTTCTAATTTACACCAAGTAATTTCTTAGACATGGGAAATGGAATATGGATATGTAGAGATTTAAGATTTTGCATATTACATATCTCTAGATTTATATATTTTAAGTTTTTAACCATGTTTGCATAAAATATATAATAATATAATGTTAGAGGTTATAAATATATAAATACATTTTGACATGGCTTCTTAATTCAGTTTTACCTGTATGAGTTGCATAGAAGCCAAATTGACTTGTTTTCATATAGGGTTGGAAATGTGACATGATTTATGAAATAAAGCAATAGCAATTAAATATGATTTACATCGATTAAAACAAGTTGAATCGACTAAAACCAAAACAAAAAATGTTATATGTGTATTGTTATAAGAAAATGATATTTGTTTAGAATTACGTTTATAAATTAAACAAAAACATTAGGTCATATTAAGCCCGATGCCAATTTTGTTCATTTTAAGAAGTTTTAAATAATAAAGAAACCACAAAGGGGCTATATGATACCTCAACTAAAACGTACGGGATCCATCTGTCCAAAATAAGAAAGTTATATACTGATTTGAAAATATAACAAAATACAAGGAGTGTTAATGCAAATTTTCTTTCGTTAAATTAGACCCGTAACTTTACTAAACAAAAAGTCAAAAACTAAAATCACTCGTCACAGAAGGCGCATCCGTAGGGCAAGCGAACGGCGAAAAACGTCCGCCAGTCGTCGTCGTCTCCGGTAAATTTTCCGTCAACTTTTTTTCTCAGCATGTTTTTGTCTCTAGGAAACAAAGATTTAAATCAGAAACAAGTAGATCCGTTAAAATCGTAGATTCGTGCATGCTTGATTTTTCATCTTTTTTTGTTTAAAATTTGCTATTGTTACGATTATCATGATATTGTGGAGTTAGTTAGTCATACTGTTTTTGGCTTTGTGGCTTTGTTAATCAACTTGATTGATTGTTGTTAACTCATTTGTAATTGTTTTATCTTCATTCTTCATTGAAGACATGTGAATCGAACGTATAAATAGCACTATCCGTTTGTGTAACAGGAAATTAATTTGTTCTGTAAATCTTTTTTCTTTTGGTAGAATTAAAATTGAGGAATTTGTAAAAAGTTAGGGTTGTGTCGACACATGTGAAATGAAGAAACCCAAATCCAAAATTTTAGTTCCATTACCATAAACAAATCCAGAAAGAAGTCAAATCAATCAAAACAGAACCAAATTGACTTGCCTTTCGCATTGCGGATTTTTTTAATCTTTACATACATTTATTTTCCCATAATAATAACACATTTGCATTTTTTTTTTTTTTTACTATTGTGATTGTTACTATTTTTTCCTCAGATTACAGGTTTTTTTTTAGTAGAAAGTATAATAATGGGTGGTGGAAGGGTGGCTCATCCGGTGTTGAAAGGGCCAAGTGTGGTGAAGGAGCTGGTGATTGGGGCGGTGCTTGGGTTGGCTGCTGGTGGTTTGTGGAAGATGCACCACTGGAATGAGCAGAGAAAAACAAGGGCTTTTTATGATCTTCTGGAGAAGGGTGAGATCAGTGTTGTTGTTGAAGAAGAATGAATGTTCCTTGTTGATGTCTTTATTAGTTAATATATAAAAAGGAATTGGTAGTTTGTGATTTTAATAAAACATAAAATTCTGCATTGAAATTGTACTCAATTTTCACTGTTTTGTTAAAAAAAATGTGGGATTGCTGGATCTTGATTAATTGATTGATGTTATATTTTGATGCTATTTTTTTTTACATAAAGGAATCATTACGAGTATGTATGTCTTTGAGCTCTATTCTGGAAGATTTTAATATACAAACGTGAACAGATTTCATTGAATGGACTAAACACCATTGAAC